AAGTAAAATCTGTCACTGCCTCCATATCTTCTCCTTCTGTTTGCCTGGAGGTGATGGGACCAGTGGCCATGATTTTAGTTTTTTTGTTTTTTGTTTTTTTGTTTTTTTGTTTTTTTGTTTTTTTGTTTGTTTTGATGTTGAGCTTCAGGCCATATTTGCACTCTCCTCTTTCACCCTCATTAAGAGGTTCTTTAATTTCCCCCCCACTTTCTGCCATCAGAGATGGCATATCTGAGGTTGTTGATATTTCTTCCAGCAATCTTAATTCCGGCTTGGGGTTCCTCCAGTCCTGCCTTTCGCATTCTGCATATAAGTTAATTTCTTCCCTTTGCTTTCTTACCTTCCTCCTTTTCTGTTTGCTAAACAGAGTTATCTTTTCTGTTGCTTGTGCCCAGAAGACACCATTCCATAAATATGCTTTGGCAAACTAGGTCACGTTGTCTGCTGCAAAGAGTGCAGAATTGGAGCACCAAGTGCCTCTGAGTAGTTCCCAGTGTGACCCCCTCTCTCGCAACAGCTTCACTGTACACATGTGAGCATGTGCTCTCTGAGAAGCATTGCTGGTGGCTCAACTCTGCTCTGCTTGTTTTGGAAATGAGTTCAGTACTGGCCCAGGTAGTTCTGTCGATCGATCACCTGTTCCCCCAGCGTTGGTTTTCTTCACTCCTGTGGAGTGCTGCGCTCTTCAGAGTCCTAGTGAAAGGTGATAACTGCTAAGATGAAAGGAGCTGTAAGGTAGAAGGCCAAAGTTTTGCATCCCAGCATCAGACATTTTAGTTAGCTTGCTAAAATATATACTGTATTGTCATATGATATTAGTCAGTTGTTTCTTTCTGACTTGTTCTTTTTTTCCTCAGCTTTGTTTCACTGTGTTGTGTAAAGTAGGCGACTGAAGAGCTGTGAATCGCCCGCAGTAATTCATCTCCAGATTCGAGTCTCAGGAAGCCCAGCCATGGCTTTTAGCTTCTCAGACCACCTGCTTGCCTTTTTGAAGCAGCAAAGCATGGTTTCTCCAGGGGGTGGCAGCCCTGAATCAGAGAAAACAAAACAAAGGCAGTGTCATTCCAAAGTGCTGAGACTGGGCAGAGGAGAGGGAAGCTACTCAGAGAAGGATCCGAGGAACTCCTCGGCAGTTTGCTTTGAATAGGGATGGGAAGGAATTGAATTGTGCTTGGTGGGGTTTGTTTCTGCATGCTTTCAGCCTATAACAAGAACATTAATCTTGCAACCAGACATCTCGGTGGGCTGAAGCAGAATGCCTGTAGCTTTTTAGGATCAGTTTTCTTGGAGGGCCCTGCCCTCAAATGTTGGCACTTTACTAGCAATATGATTTACATCGGATGATTTGGTGACCTTACAACGCATCACAGTTTATTTATTTATTTATTTATTTATTTGTTTACGTCGGATGATTTGCTGACCTTACAACGCATCACAGTTGCCTGAAGTGTCATAATCTAAAGCTAGCATGTGGTTGGTAAGGTATCATAATCTAAAGCTAGCATGTGGTTGGTAAAGTAGATGGACAAGGTTGTGATAGGGACAAAAGAAGGGTAGTAGCTACCCTCCATACTGTTCAGAATGTATTTCTGGTAAATTATTCCAGCTGTATGTGCTAAATGATACTGTATTTTAAGCATTTATATATATCAGGCTCAGGCCATTTTGAAAAAAAATACAAACTTCAATAATAAAATGTTTGCCAATTCTTACATCTTCTTTACTTATAACCCTAGTTCAGTATCTCCATAATTATTCACCAGTGTAGAAGAAAAATCTGTCAAAGAAAATGTCCAAGCCTAGACATTTCTGGGCATGCAAGGGGAAAGAATTCCAGGTCTGGAAGGCAGCTACCAGCAGCCAGGGGTGCTTGCCTGAGTGCCAGAACAACTTGTGTTTTGATGTCCGAAGATGGAATGGGGGGAGTTGTTACAGAACTGGGATGGTGGCGGCGACATGGGCAGAGCAGGTGCCTCTGAAGTATACACACTGTACATGTGTAGCAACATCCATGGATCTTTATTGTGGGCAATGTGAACTTATCTACACTTCAGCATTGCCATAGTTGTTCTCCCTGGGATCATTCATTGTTCTCCCAAGTCCACCTCAGTAGTGATGGGTGTCTTGTAGCTATGGGTGAGAGAATTCTGCAACATTATTCCAACATAGGGTCTATCTGGTTCAAACAGCCATCTGATGGGAATTTCTTTGAGCTGCTATTTACCTCTTCATTACCCTTCTCTTTGGAGAAGATTTCTAGGCTCTTAAAGTAAGCCATTGCCCCTTCTCTTCTTTTAGAAGCCAGCTCAAAAGCTTCTAGATGAGAAAACACCCTCCTTCTTGTCTAGGTTCTTGGTGATTGATGAAATGTTGCACCTATTTCATTGTTTTTTTTTCTGGTTTGTCACATTTTACAGATGCAGTGTCTCAAAACTCAGAGCATTTATCATTTAATAGTAGCTTTCGAGCTAACACAGCTGCACAGCTGACCTGTAGTCTTTTCACAACTCTCTTGATCATTTCTTTCCATGGTCATCTTTTTAGTTGTGATCACACGTCCACTGCTCAGGCTGCAGATGTGTCTCAGGCAGGCCTGAGCTATTTTTCCCCCTTCGTTGACCCTCTTTTTCCGAGTCATTTATGACACTTTGCCATAAGCTTTTAGTTGCAGTTCCTTTCATTTTTATATTTTGCTTGGAATGGAACTGTTTTTTCCCCCCAAACGTGCTGCTCATTATGAATGAGGTCAGTAAAATAGTAAGAACTGCAAAGTCCTCTTCTCTTTATTTTCTCATTTTCCTTCTTTCTTTTAAGGCCAACCTGCCCAACCTGGTGCCATTTTGATGTGTTTTTTTTATTACAACTTCCAATAGCCCTGGCTGTGTTACTGAAAAGGATGTGATGTGAAGTCCAAAGCATTTGGACAGTGCCGAGTCAGAGAAGGTGGCTCCCTGCTCTTCTTTCTAGGTCGGGGAGGAAAATTCAGGCAGGACAGAAGCCATGGTTATTCTGGCCCTTTGATCTCATTCACCAACCCATTCATTAACAGACTGTTTCATCTGTCGGAAGGCCATTTAAACCTTGAATGGAATTGTCAGAACTCAAGTATCAAACTGGAAATGCAATAGCATTTTGCTAGAAATGCTGTCAGCAGCATGTCCCACGATTAGAGGCACATGAGATTTTCTTAGAAACCTTACTCACTGAAACACTGTGCATTTTAATGGGAATAGTTGGTCTGCTGATTTACTTCTGAAATGCCTTTTGTCTATATGGCTGCAGAGCCAGAGGTTGGGAGCTCAGTTCCCTATTTCTTCTTTCCCAGGGCCTGGACTCAGTGATCCATAGGCCCTTTTCAGTTCTGCAGTTTGAGAAGTAGGAGGAAGATTTAGTTCCAAGATGCCACTTAGCCCATTGTTTTATACAGTGGTGCCTCACTTAACGCCAATAATCTGTTCCAGGAAAATCACTGTTAAGCGAAAACATCGTAAAACGAAATTAAAAACCCCATTGAAACGCATTGAAACCTGTTCAGTGCGTTCCAGTGGGGTAAAAACTCACCATCCAGCGAAGATCCTCCATACGGCAGCCATTTTTGCTGCCTGTATAGCGAGGAATCCGTCCCTAAACACAGCAGGGAGCCATTTTAAGCACCCAGCGGCCATTTTGAAAACCCGACGATCAGCTGTTTTTGATCGTCATAAAGCGAAAATCAGTTCCCGAAGCAGGGAACCAATCATCACTAAGCGAAATTCCCCCATTTAGACCAAAAAGATTGTCGTACAGCGATTTCGGCGTAATGCAGGGCAGTCATTAAGTGAGGCACCACTGTATATCAAGCGGCCATTTTGAAAACCCGACGATCAGCTGTTTTTGATCGTCATAAAGCGAAAATCAGTTCCCGAAGCAGGGAACCAATCATCACTAAGCGAAATTCCCCCATTTAGACCAAAAAGATTGTCATAAAGCGATTTCGGCGTAATGCAGGGCAATCATTAAGTGAGGCACCACTGTATATCAAAATACCTCATTGGCACTTCCCACAGTCAGAATTCCCCATCCCAGACACTCGTGCCTAATTTCCCCTCAAAGTTCTCTCTGTCCAGGTCTCTATCACTGCTGCCCTTAAAGATCATGGTGTTTCCTTTATTTTCTGCAGATTTTTCTTCAATCCAACACTATCACTGCTCCACATTCTTCTGTCTTGGTTGCAAATACTGGCAAACTGTAAATTTCACACTTGGCTCTTTAATGCTGTGTGCTGCCACACCTCCTATAGTCTCCGGACTCCTTGACATCTGAGCTCATAATTCAAAGGGAATGGTGGGAGGCGCTGATGCTGAAGGCAAGCAGTAGCACCCACTTGGCTCTTACTAAGGGGGTTGCTGCCTAGCCTTGCAGCCTTGAGTGAACACTTTGTGTGAGGTGTGATATGGATGCTGCCGGCCACATGGTAGACTTCAAATTCTAGTAAGACCCCCAGTGTCTTATACTTAACAGCCTTGTTTCCGGTCTTAACAAGAAGAGCAGTTCTTAGGTATGGTACAGCAAAAACAAGAATGTGCCTTGTAGAACAAGAAAGAAGCACAGCTATGTGTAAAATCTAAAAACCCGGGTAGGCCATTTCCTTATTGGACCATTAAAGTATCATGAACAGGTCAGCTTTTAACAGTTTGCCTGGGGTTTTTTTGTTTGATTTTTGTTTGTTTTTTTGGTGATGTCCAGAGAAGACACTTGTGGCATCTTAAAGATTTTAGCAAATTTTATGTGCTACATCAGCTTTTACAGACTACAGGTGGCTACATTCCAGTTCATGGAGTGAAGCCCCAGAAAGAGTCATTCATACATAAGTGATCCAAGGAGGATCTGAAATATGATGAAAATATGAGAGGTACTAGATTGGTGATTCGTGTTTTTAAAGAATCTTTTCAGCACCAGGTACAACCCAGTGTCGATAAGCAGAACAATGCATGGACGGCAGAGAAAAATCAGTGTCTAGGTGTCAATCCACAGCATATATCTGCTGAAGTCAGTTGTAGTCCACAAAGGCTTATATGCCAAATAAAACCTAATGTCACCTAGAACAAAATGATAATTCACTGGTTCGACTGTTGACCAATTAACATGTTTTAATAAATGTTTGTTCTTCAGAAAGTTCGGGGTAGCATGAATGGCCTTCCTCCCTCTCAACAACATTTTGTGAGGCAAATGAGATGGTGAGGCAGTGGCTAATTTCAGGTCACCAGTGACAGATGAGATTTTGGAGCTGGGTCTTCCCTGCTCTTGGCCATCTGATATAGGGACCCAATAGCAGCAATCTCTGCAGAGCTCTCTGAAGGTGTTGGCCCTTTGCCTGTACTAAGTCTGTAGGACTAGAGGTTGAAGGGGACGGTAGAGGAGACCCATGTGGCTCGATGCTCCACAAGGTATGATAGACAGACTCTCACCATGCAGGTGAAAAGTGTATTTGTCAGCAATGATTTCCTCAAGTACGTTTGCCATCTGCGTTTAGGAAAGTAAAGTTCTTTCCTTGAGTTTGTCCTTCTGAAACAGCATTTTATCAACCCCCAAAATAAAGCACAGATGTGGAAACTGTGTTCAGTCATTCTACTTTTGTAGCTTTCTATTAATCTCTAAAAAGATATCTGCTTCTTTTTGAGGCTGCCTGCTGCTCCCCTGGGAAAACATACCAGAGCACTTATTCCTTCCAAATTCTATTGTATCTACAGTGCAGAACTGTAACTAGGGCAAGGCAACTGGGGTTTTACCCCAGAGAGAAAAATTCTGGTACCGCCCGCTGGTATCTGCTGCTGGAAGGGCAGAAGGTACCCACCCCAGGCACATACTGTACATCGCTTCCAGCTGTTCCTCTTCACGATAAGGAAACATAAGGCATAGGACAGGCTCAAGGTGGCATCCGTCTGGTCATCACACCGTCAGATCCAGGCATTCCTCTGCATTGCTCTGATCTCTCTGCGCATATACCACTCTCATGTAACCCAGACTTAATCAATGGGGCAACAAAGCCTCAGGCACCAAAATTGCCGGTTATGGCTCTGCTAGAGTGTAGATCCTTGTGAGGATCCAACATCTCATCTCTCCTGTTCCTCAGATCCCTGTTTTACGCTGTCACAGCTGACTAGCAGTAGACAGTGGTCCCATTGTTTAGGAGTGCATTTACAGTCTCCAGGTAAAAAGTGGGTTAAGCACATAATAATCCCACAAACAGCATTAAAGATATTTTTCACATGGTCCTGGCAGGGTCTGCTTTTCTCTGGTTCTGCTATAAATGTTAATTACCTGCTGTCCTGCTTTTATCTGAAGGTTCCTCTTTGTCTGATGCATAACAAAAAGTGTTTCAGTTACAAGTATCATCACCTCCCCGCCCTCAGCTTTTTGATCTTTTGCTTCTATCATTTCTTCCTTTGTTATACTAGGATTAGTATCCCTCTCTCCTTTTTGTTCCTCCTTTCATTTCCAGCTTCTGTGTCTGTTGCTTATCCCTGAAAGCAATAATTTTGTTTCACTTCCCCTTTTTTTCCTGGGTGCACACACGTCTCTCTGTATCCTTTTTTTTTTTTTGCAGATATTAGTAAATAATTATTTATTATGGACATTGCTCCCTTTATTTAGATTATCTCACATCCTAAAACTTCTTTAACAGCCGACCATCCTCCAGAGCACTGAGCAAGGAGCTTTTCCCAGTTTCCCCTCTTCTGATACTAGTTGCTGGTGTTCCTGTGTTGTGGGCCCTGGACTCTACGGAGACACTGTCATTAAAGCACCAATGAAAGGAAAAATTAATGCATTCAGGATGAGCTTGCATATGACTCTCCGTCATCACCATTGGGTTCCCAGTTGTCATTTCAGTAAATTGGTGCTGAAAAAAAATGACAAAATCTGCTACCAATGCAAGAGGAGGAGGAGGAGGGGCGGGGGGAGGCAGGTTTCAGATTAGGGATTGCATTAGTGGTCTGTAAAGGTATTGCCTACTCTTGCATTTGCATTGTGTAAGGCGCATAAGGCTCTTTCATTTCAAAGGTTTCAGAATGTTTCCTTTTGGTGTTTTGCCTGTATGAGTGTATCATTTGGATTACTGAAGGAATCCTGCATTTAAAAAAATGTACTCATTGTTACTTTCCCTTGCATTCCAGGTGGGGGTTCAGCCCTCTTACCTGCTCCCATCCCTCCCGTCACCCTGGAAGAGAAGGGAATGGTCACCAAGCACCTTGCCTCGAAAGGAGCTACCATTCAAGAGCTCAACACCATTCGAAAGGCTCTCTCCTTGCTAAAAGGTGGAGGGCTGGCACAGTCTGCCTATCCTGCACAGGTGGGTACAGATTGCCTGATTTACTCAACAATGCTGTGAAGGCGGTCAGATCTGTTTCTGTGTTCCTGAAGATGATGTAAGTTGGTTGGGCGGGGAGGGGGGACGCAACTTGCAGACTGCATGTGGCCCACAGAATTGTCCCCCTCGACTGCTGTTACCACAACTTCTTCTACATCCCTCCTGTTCCCAGCAAAGCCAAACTGATGAAAGGTAGGAGATGATAGTTACACATGCTTCACTGGTTAAGTCAGTAGTGAAACGTCCAGTTCCCTTCTTCTGACCGGGTGTTCTTCTGCAGAGAAACGGAGCACATGGTGGGACCACCCCCACTTTTCCTCTTTCCAGAAATGGCCACTCGACTGGTGGGGCAAGGGAGAGAGAAATGGTGTCTCTCCTTGCCCCCGGTCCTGATTAGAAACAATTGTTTTCCTGGTCCCTGGTACAGCAGAAGGCACAAAGTGGTTCTCCTGCAGCAACTGCGTACAGGGTGGGTGGGGAGAGGAAGAGCTTGAGGTGTGGATTTATGGGGCATGTATGCCTGCACTCCACCCTCTTCTGTGGGGCATCACCCAATGGCACTGTCCCTGAAGGCTTCTGTGGAACCTAACATGGGTCCCCATACCCCAAATGTTGCCCATCTGTATTGTAAGTAATTAGTAGCAAGGAATGGAGAGGGGCAGCTTATTGTCAATTGCTCTGGATGATGACCAGCATCTACTTAGCCCTCCTGAAACATTGAGAGATGTGTGTATAGCATGTGACAACAAATCCCTGACTACATGCTCAGAATAGACTGTGCTACAAGTATTATTCTGATGACATATCCTTGTAAAAACGGGGCTGTCTTTGTTTCTTTGCAGGAAAGAGAATGTAAGAGGACAAGGAGGGGAGGAATGTAATAGGGAAATGGGAGACCAGATGACTGCTAGGGAGCCATGCAAGGCATAGAAATGTGCCTCTTTGTCAGTTGCCTTTCATGTGTCTCCTTTAATTTTGAAAATTTTGCCACACATTCTTGCATACTCCCTGCGCCCCCCCCCCCCCCGGCTGCTGCCTTTGTGTAAGCACGAAGGCTCAGAGGTGGCCTTTTCAAAAATGAATAGCAAGAGAATCCTGTCTGTTAACTGGGCAGAATGCTTTAGGGAGCTTAAATCCTGCATTAAAAATCCCAAAGCATCTGGTTAAAAAAAAATCCTGGTTTGTTCAAAATAATGAGTTATGCAAACTGAGTAAAAAATATAGAGAGCTGCCCAATGCAAGTTTTACACAAACCAGGCATTGCTTTATTTTAAGAATGTTTTTTCTTTTTTGTTTATCTGAATGCTTTTTTTTAATCTTATAAATTATAATAGATTGAGGAAACAGCTGTTTCTCAGCAATCTGAAGGCCAGAAGTCATTTTTGTCAGGGTAATTGGATTGAAGATGGACCCTCATTTTGTATGGCAAACACGATTGTTTCTTGTATACAGCAATGATACAGAGAGTTGTGGGGGTTTTTTTGGTTGTTTTTTTGCGGCAGGTGCACAGTATTTATGCAGTCATGTCTATGTAATTCACCTCCATTTTGCAGGAGGCAAGGAAGAAAAATGGAGATGAATGATCTTGTTGTCTCCTTGTACTTAGAGCCAGGTGTGCTTAGAACTCTGATTGAGAATCTTTTCATAGAACAAAGACCTCCTGCTGGCCTTTTGGGTTCAAAAAGTTATTTCAGACATACATAATCTATTGCACAATAATAAATAACACAAATAAGCAATTCAGATTTCTTATTAAAATGTCTTAGTTTATGTTGTAGTTTCAATTTTATTCTATCAATGCATTAACAAAGTGATTTTATTTGCAAACAAGGGGAAATAATTGTAGCATCCTTTCATTTTTTGAACCATGCCCATGTGTTGCACAAGGTATCTCTCTGGGAGCAGCATGTCCTCCACTTCAAGAAAATGAGGAATTTGTTATCTGCCATCAATTCACTTCCCGCTTATGGTGACCCTACAAATGAGCAACCTCCAAAATGTCCTGTTCTCAACAGCCCTGCTCAGCTTTTGTAAACTCAAGCTTGTGCCTTACCTCAGTGGTGTGGGCATCTGGCTATGGAGCAAGAGGTTGGGAGTTTGATTCTCCACTGTGCCTCCTAGATAGAGGCTGGACTCGATGATCCATAATGGTCCCTTACAGCCGTGCAGTTCAAAGGTTATTATTATTACTTTAGAGAGTCCATCTATCTCATATTTGGCTTCCTCCTCTCCTGCTGTCTCCCACCTTTCCCAGCGTTATTGTCTTTTCCAGAGAATGCTGTCATTATGTGCCCAAAGCAGGACAGCCTCAGTTTCAACATTTTTGCCTCCAGAGCTAGTTCAGGCTTGATTTGATCTATGACTCACTTGTTTGTCTTTCTGATAGTCCAGGGTATCTGCAAAACTCTTATCCAGCATCACATTTCAGATGAATAAGTTTTTTCCTGTCAGCTTTCTTTACTGTTCACCTGTTTAAAACTTCTTTATGAACTAGGAAAAGCAAATCTGTACTGTGTGAAATGTGAGATATATTCTGACCCTAGTGAGAATTTAATTGTCTTGTGAGGTATAAAAATGGCCCATGCCCTAAAGAGCATGTGGGAGTGCAAAATCAAGTTCGGCTCCAAAACTCAGATCCAGAAAGGACAAAGTAGAAAAGAACAAAGCAAAGCAAAGCCGCCTTCTACTGATGAATATTTCATGCCCCCAATGAATTCCATTCCAGACCCCTTTTCCATCACTGAAGAAACTTTGATTCCCCTCCTTATAAGCAGAGCAGACCATTTCAGCTTTTCCGTATCACTGTGCACCAAATAGGGCATAGAACGCTTTTTGTCCAAATGCATTACATCAGCTAGGATGAAGAAAAATACCCAGTGGTAAAAAATAATGTTTTGGAGAGGGGATATTGTTTGTATGGGAAAATCTCTATTAGTAGCTGAAATTTGTGGAAATTATTCACCACAATGCAGGTGAAGATGTCACACAACAACCTATATCACAAGTCTACTCCCACCCACTTTCTACAAAATGGGGTTAAAGAGTGACATAAAACTACCTGGGGGTTATGATGACCACCTGCAGTTTTTGGAGGGCCTGTTTGTCTATTAAATGTTGCAGAGCCTAACCCAAAATGTACTTTCCAGTAAGTAAGCCCAACTGAATTTAACTGGGTTTATATGTTAGCAAGATTAATGAGGATTCCTGCCTCTGCAGTGGAGCATGAAGTGCCTCCACTGGCAGCTGTTGCCTCTGAGGTGGTGTGAGGGAAGAGGCTACGGAAGTAATGGCTGTGCTGTTTGACCTCTGTCAGTTTTTTTTCACCCATGCAAGGGCAACACTTGCTATTGAGAGTCACCACACGATTAACGTGTGAGGATGAACTTCCCCTCTGTTGTAGGGAAACCCCAAATCCAAGGCAGGCACAGCCAAACAATAAGGATCTCTTGTGCGGCATGAAGTAGATTTACCTCCTAACTTTTTGGCTTTTAGGTGCTGAGCCTCATCCTCTCTGATGTCATTGGGGACCCTTTGGACATCATCGCAAGTGGCCCCACGGTCCCCAGCTCTCACAGCATCCAGGACTGTTTTCAGATCCTAGCCAAATACGATCTGCTGAATGACATGCCCGAGTCTGTGCGGACAGTGCTTTCTGGCTCACCTGTCGGGCAGGTCACCCTGAAAGACTTTTCCCATGTCCGTAATGTTGTCATTGGTTCAAACAGATTAGCTTTAGAGGAAGCCAAACACCAGGCAGAGAATATGGGTTACTTCTGTGTGCTCCTGAGTGATGCAGTGTGTGGGGAAGTCGGCACAGTTGCCAGACTTTACAGCCTGTTGATTCAGCTGGCTTGCTTGAGCACTGCGAGAACTGCTGAGAATGACCCTTTAAAGGGCAAGGTGGAAGGAATGCTCTCAAGCCTTGTGGCAAAGCTGGCGATCCCTGGCTTCCACTTTAGAGGCCCTTTGTGCGACTCCCAAGTGGGGAAACCCATTTGTCTTTTGGCGGGTGGGGAAACCACTGTGCAGCTTCAAGGACATGGGAAGGGTGGGAGGAACCAGGAACTGGCTTTGCGAGTGGCCTTGGAGCTGCACAGAGCTAAATCCACTGCCGAGGGCCAATTCCTTGAGAAATATGAAGTTGTTTTCCTGAGTGGTGGAACCGATGGGCAGGACGGGCCAACGGAGGCTGCTGGGGCCTGCTGCAGCCAAGACCTGGTGGACGAGGCTGAACAAGAAGGTTTCAGTGTGGAAGATTTTTTGAACAACAATGACTCGTACACGTTCTTCACTATGTTCCAAAGTGGGCGACACCTTTTGATGACAGGCTTGACCGGCACAAATGTTATGGACATTCACGCCATTTTAATCAGAGCCAGGGGAAGAGAGTGATGCACCACATATTCTTTTACTATGAAAGAAGAGCCTCAAATTGTAGGCAGCTCCAGGCTGCATAAACTGGCAAGTGCCCCCATCCACACGGCTAACATCAAGGGCATCATAGAAGGTTAAAATTAGACCCATGATGGATACTGCATTCTATTTAATTAGGCCAGCTATAACCATAGTACCAGCCTCTGGAAAGTCTCAAGGTGGCATTAGCACCTTACTGCTTTAAAAAATGGCATATTTCATTTGGGATAATAAAAAATGTGTGCTTTTACTTACCTTTTTAATGATTTCCATGCCAATAACACAGAGAAAATAAATTTAAAAACCTGTAAACATAGTTTGGTGCTAATAATATAACAAAGGCAACAAGGAGAGCACCAGAATATCCATGAAAGTAATAAAGGTTCTATAAAGTCCTCTGAATACGAGTACAAAGTGCATATCTCTAACGATGTGTCTGATGGGTGGGGGTTGCATGGCTTTATGTGCATTTATGTGTGTGTAAACGTCCCAGAGTAGTGGTATGCCACTAGATGGATAGTATAAAAATGCAGTAGACAAATAGGTAAATAAATAATAATCCAGTACTGTAGGAGAACAGCCAGAAGACTGTACAAGGAAAACCTATTCAATTAGAATGGTTAAGAGTTGTTGTTTAATCGCTAAGTCGTGTCCGACTCTTCATGACCCCATGGACCAGAGCATGCCAGGCCCTCCTGTCTTCCACTGCCTCCTGGAGCTGGGTCAAATTCATGTTGGTAGCTTTGATGACACTGTCCAAACATCTCATCCTCTGTCTTCCCCTTCTCCTCTCGCCCTCACACTTTCCTAACATCAGGGTCTTTTCCAGGCAGTCTTCTAAAGAGATGGCCAAAGTATTGGAGCCTCCATTTCAGGATCTGTCCTTCCAGTGAGCACTAAGGGTTGATTTCCTTCAGAATGGATAGGTTTGTTCTCCTTGCAGTCCATGGGGATTCTCAAGAGTCTCCTCCAGCACCACAATTCAAGAGCATCAATTCTTCAGCGGTCAGCCTTCTTTATGGTCCAGTTCTCACTTCCATACATTGGTACTTGAAATACCATATCTTTGACTATGCGGGCCTTTGTCAGCAAGGTGATGTCTCTGCTTTTTAAGATGCTGTCTAGGTTCGTCATTGCTTTCCTCCCAAGAAGCAGGCATCTTTTAATTTCGTGGCTGCTGTCACCATCTGCAGTGATCATGGAGCAGCCCTGGTGAACCATTTCTGAAAACTGTAATACCTAGAAATACCTAGAAAGGCCTAAGAATGGTTGTTGTAAGTCAGACTGATTGAGTGATGGCATGCAGTTATAGTTGTTATGGTACTACCAGAAAAGGACCAGGGTATCAAATGTGGATTCCTGTGTACCATGTATTGTACAGGTTGTTATGTGTTTAAGTGTTCTGTAGGCTGATCAGTCACCCCAATAGTCCCTGGTAAATGTTATTAAGGCAATCTTCATTCCTGTCTCACACTGACCCATATCTAATATGGCCTCTGTTAAATATATTGAAAATATTTTCTCACAGAATCTAAAATATCATTAAATGTCACATTTGTTTTCCAGAAAAATGTATGCTTTTGACTTTTCATCTTTAGTTTTGCAGTAACTGAGCACTTCTGACTGTAAGCCCAAGCCCTATGTAATGTTCCTGTTGGAGAAAGAAAAAAGGTTTTAGGTGAAGGAATACACTATTATTCTAACATTAATCCCATAAGTGCTGGTATGACTTAGTGGTTTGAAGCACCTGATTGTGGAGCTGCATCTAGTAGTTTGAATCCTTGTTCTCCCTAGCAGAGAAACCATCAAGATCTGGCATGCACACTGGTTGAGTTATGGTCCCTTCCCACTTGGTGAAGATATATAGTCCCAGAATGTTGCCAGAAGGAGGGATTGGTAAAACACATTGAATACTTTATACGGAGCGTTTCCATATTTTGGGATTGATTTGGTGGCAGACAATTATTAATAATCCCACCCATGGCTTAGCTTTTGGAAGTTACGATCTCAGTCATAGGATTCACTTGTTTTCTACTTCCTGAATAAGCATTTTTCTTCCTTTTGAGAATTTCGCCATGAGACTTTAAAAGTACTGGCCTAAACCCACATACGTCCCAACCTATTTGCTTCTATAGTGCAGTTGTACTATTTGTTAATGTCTTAAGGATTTACATCTGTTCACCATCAGTTTGTACTATGTATGTTTTTCTGCCTGTATCTTGACTTGTAGTAAAGCAGTGGCAGCTTGCCTGCATGACGTATTAGTGGGTTTCCCTACCTCATGGTTTGATAGTGAGAATTTCCTGGGTCCAAACATGACAAAATGGATCCATGACAAAAGGGCTTAGAAAGGACCCTCCTGTTTACTTCAAATGCATTGAGGACATGCATGGTAACCTTTGATCTTGGTTTTATTACTGTAGCAGAAGAGGAGGATGTTGTCACCTTTTACAGGGAAGGATGGTATGAAAAACAGCCCAGAGGTTCTGGCAGAAATGTAATCTGACCCTGTGACCTTTTGCTCATCGATGGGAATGGCATTTACTTAGGGGTTGATATTTCATGGGGAAGTGCTCTGTTCAGCCTAGTTGCTGCGAGCACTCTACGTGTTACTTTACAAGCTAGCTAGAAAACAATGTGGACCCAGGTTTATGACCTTTTAAAGTGTAGGAAGTTAGAAGTCACTGTCACTCTGATTTAACTCCTCTAATCTCACATAACAAAAGCAAGAAGGCCTGCAGAGGCAACTGTGCTTAGTCCAGTTTGCTGCTTTGCAGAAATTATTTTGAGTGTCAAAATAATGTTTGCCTGTTCGATGAGCAAAGCAAACGGAAGGACAGGCTACTTACCGGTAACTGTAGTTCTTCAAGGAGTCATCGATGAACTCGCACACAGGTTTTACACTTCTACTGAGCAGAAATCCAGGTATTCCACAGCTCTGTAGCCTTAAGGCTATATCTCCACACCCCCTAATGGTTATCTGCTGGTTCACCTCTGTCCACTGCATATGTAGAATAATATGACAGCCTGAGAGAGGGAGAGCAGGTTGTATGAGTTCGCAGATGACCAACTGAGGAATCACAGTTACAGGCAAGTAACTGGCCCCTTTTTCATGGTCTCTGTAACTCCACACATTTGGGGAGATTGCAGCATACTTTTAGGATGCATCGGCTCATGCTCTTAGGTGTCTGGTAGCTGCAGCCCTCTAAGAAAAGCTGCTGATGCTGTTGTTGCCTATAGGGGCATATCTCCCGCTTGCAGAGGGAGAGGCTGCTGTGCCATCTCATAGGATAACTTAATTGCCAGTACAACCCGCTTTGCAAATCTTTGAGACAATAATGGTTGACATTTGCAGGGTTCTTGATGGCAAACAAAACCTCTTTGGGCTTATATGAAAATTGGAAACCACTTTAGGAGTGAAAGATTTATCTGTATACAAGATAACCTTTACCCACCCTTTTGACAAATTCTTAAGAAAATAACAAAATGCACAGAATCCACTCATCCTTGCAAGAGTGATTACCACTACTAAAAAGACTGTTTTGAAATGAAGCAGTCAGGGAGCTGCTGTTCCCTCGATCCAAAGCGGGGGGGGCAGCATAAATGGAATATGTTCTAAGGATAGCGACCAGGAATGGGGTGAACTCCCCATCTTGGGATACAGTCAGTTCAAAACCTTCCAAAATCTTTTAACTACTGGATCAAGAAATTCTGTTTACTTATATAGTCCCCCTGTTTGGTGGGCAATGAAGGCGACCAAGTATACTTTGAAGGACTAAGGAAATATGCCTGTTTCTTTCTTTTGAACAAAGCAGAAATTTTAAAACCATTTCTTTGTAAGGTTGTTTATAGGATACAACCACGGAAGAAGCAAAAGGCTGGGATTTTTGCTACTTAATAGAATAGGATTTACATGTTGGCTGTTTCCTGGAGGCTTGCCAAACCTTGTGCAGTGATGAGGGAAAATTTGTAGTGTTATCTCCAAGCCGTTATTTATGGTGTTTTCAAGTCTAGATGCCTGACTTGACTTCTTTCAGATGTCAGGAGGTCTGAGTCTAGTGGTAGCCTGATATGCCTTTGCACCATCCATAATAGAGATACGACATAGCCTTCATATTGTGACGAGAACAGCATCCATCCTTTCCTGCTTCAGTTTCACTATCATCTCATGAATAAATGAGGAAGATGGAAATGTGTAGGGGAAATGTTCTGTACACACCAACATGAACACATCTCCGAGTGAATCCCATGCCTCAGTTGTGTGTTGTGAAGACATCCGTGAAGCTGACTCCAAGGACCAGTTAATATGCAGAAAGTCTTCCATGATAGTTTCCATTTGTGAGTACAAGTTATTTTTGATGACTTGAATAATCGGCAACTTGATTGTCCTCTCCTGCTGTGTGAATGCTAATTGAGAAAGCATGTGTGGCTATGCACCATTCCCAAAATTGTTCTTTTAACAGAAAGAGTTGTAGAGAATAAGTGCCTCCTTGCATGTTGATGCAGTATGTTGCTGTTGAGTTATTTGTGGCTACCTCTACTGCTTGGTGGAGTCTAACACAGCACTTATTCAATTCATTAAGAACCCTCTTTTTTATGAATGTGGGGTGTTGTGCTTCTGTGTCCATGATTCAGAACAGCGGGAAATGGCCTGATACTGCTGCACAATCTCTTGCTCGCATTGTCAGCAGGAAAAATGATGCCAAGGTTAAAAAAGCAAAAGGCAGCCTGAATGTTGATGACACCAGTAGCAGCAATCAGGATGGTCTACAGCAGTGGTTTCCAACCTTTTCCAAACTATGGGCCAGTTGGGGTGGGTGGAGTCCATGCAAGCGCACCCCCATGCACATGGGTGGGTGGGGCATGTACGCATGCACAGGTGGGCAGGGTGTGCTTGCAGGTGGGAGGAGTGCGATCCCATGCATGCACAGATAGGGGTGCACTTGTGGGTAGGAGGGGCGCACTCATGCACAGGCAAGGATGGGCAGGGTGTGTGCACGGATGGGTGGGGCACCCGTGCGGGTGGGTGGGCCGTGTGGGCATGCTTGGGTGGAGTGTGTGCATGGGGGTGGGAGATCTTTCTTTGCGACCAGGTCCTGCCAAGACCATGGCGAGGCACCAGGCCACGAACTGGGGGCTGGGGGCCCCGGGTCTACAGAACTGCCTCTTTTGCTTACTACCATTCAAAGAGATGCCAAGCAAGGGAAAATACCTGCCTTTCTCTTTAAAAAGGGGCACAAGGCAATGTATATCATTAAAAAGATATTTAAAAGCTGAAAACAGTAAGTATACAAATATTTTTAAAGAATTAAACAAATATTAAAACTGAAAATGAAATCTGTATAAAAACACATTTATAAACAAGACAACATTTTTTATTTAAAAAAACCCTTCTTAGTCAG